GATTTTAATCCATGTCTCATTCCATATGATATCTAGAATGGAGGAATATATGATCCTTTATCTGATGGACGCGTCATTGATTTGTTCAGAGTTCGACAGCAGCAGCTTTTAAGAGCTATGATTGCTAGTCGGGTTTTGAAGTCATACGCAATAATCGTTTTAGACTTATCCAAGTGGGAGACTATTGGATTAGTGTCTAAGTCCATAACTATATTTGGTATGTACTTGACCCGATTGGCATGGTCCATTTTGGTTGCATGACATCATGCATTTGGATAGACTAAAATGAGAGAAATAACACTTACGGTTTACTAATATATTATAAGTTCTAATATATTAATAAGATTGTTTAATTAGTATTGATCAAGAATTAATTTCGAATTAATTAATTGATCAAAAGGAGACTAATTAAATATATGGGTTGATTGTGTAAATCATCCATACTTGTATAGTGGGATAATGCTCCATGGATTATCAAGTTGGGCTAAAACCCATAGGATGCTCCATGGTGTTTTTGTACCCATGGATCATGGAAATGAAAGGCCATGACAATTAGGGTTTACATGGTGTAACCCTATCTAAGCATCTTATTCTTCCCAAAAATAGCCACCATGAGAAACTATGATGGAATGGCGAGGACTAGCCGATTTCATGAAGTGGTTCATTTCTCTCTAAGTTATTCCAAGTGCAATTGATGTTGTGTGAACCATTTGAGGTGTCACACTTGAGGCACTAGGCTCTTAAGATCCATGGAATCAAGCTACATTAGAAGTTATGTCTTTTAACTTGCTATATTACATATGGATCAATGTTTTCTATGCTAGTTAGGATAATACCTTGGAATATTCATATTTACATGTATAATAGAGAAAACATAGATCCCATGTATTTAGGGTTTCTTGTACACTTAGGAGTGTTAGAATGCTCAAAACACAACACCTAAGTCTTGAATTCCACGACTACCTCAAGGAATGCAAAATTGTTCTGCAATTGATGCCTCCTAAGACACCACAGTTCAATGGTATGGCTAAGAGGCATAATCGAACCTTGCTAGACATGGTTTGTTCCATGATGAGTCATGCTTCGCTACCTATCTGATTCTGGGGGTATGCCTTAGAGACAACTACCCATATCCTTAACTTAGTCCCTACGAAGAAGGTTGCCAAAACACCTCACGAGATGTGGACAAGGAAAGCTCCCTTGTTAGCACATATCAAAGTTTGGGGTTGCGAGGCTTTCGTAAGACGAGAGACTCACGAAAAGCTCGAATCTCGTTGTGAGCGATGTATTTTCATCGGCTACCCACAAAATTCCTTTGGATATCTCTTTTATAGACCGAGTGACAATGTTGTCTTCGTTACGAGGAGAGGGGTTTTCCGAGAACGAGAACTCATAAGCCAAGGAGACAGTGGGAGGCAAACCGATATTGAAGAGATTCAACAATAGAGCGATGAAGGAACCTCTAACGCTGGCACTTAACTCGAGGAGGAAACTCTGGTTGAACCGATTGGCGAATCCTTCCCTCTTAGACGTTCTGATAGGGTTAGGGTTTAACACCAGTTTTATGGTTTTCATATTACTACCGAAGGGGATACGTTCATTAGTGATAGTACACTAGTGAATCTGGACGAACCTAACAGCTATAAGGAAGCCATGGCAGGCCTGGAGTTTGCGAAGTGGAAAGAGGCGATGAACAACAAGATTCAGTCCATGTATGACAACCAAGTTTGGAATTTGGTTGGCCATGTACCAGGTCATAAGATGTTCGAGTGCAAGTGGATCTTCAAGAAGAAGACCGACATGGATGGGAATGTGCACACATATAAGGCGTGATTGGTCGCAAAGGGTTTCACTCAAACTCCTGGAGTTGACTATGATGAAACCTTCTCACCGGTTTCCAAGATAAAGTCTATTAGGGTGATACTAGCCATTGCTGCATTTCATGACTATGAAATATGGCAAATGGATGTCAAAACTGCTTTCCTTAATGGGAAGTTGGCTGAGGATGTTTACATGGCTCAGCCAGAGGGTTTTGTCAATGCGAATCATCCCAATAAAGTGTGCAAGCTTGAGAAGTCCATTTATGGACTTAAGCAAGCGTCTCGCAGATGGAATCTTTGTTTCGATGAGAAAGTTAAAGAGTTTGGTTTTCTGCGAAGTGAATATGAATCATGTGTATATGTCAAAGCCAGTGGGAGTATAGTAAGCTTCCTCGTATTGTATGTCGACAACATACTATTCATAGGAAATGACATCCCAAAACTGCAGGAAGTTAAGCCCTGGTTTGGGAAGTGCTTCGCTATGAAGGACCTCAGAGAGGCTTCCTATATTTTGGGAATAAGGATAGTGAGAGAGAAAAGTAAGAGACTAATAGGACTTATTCAGAATATTTACCTGGACAAGATACTAAAACGTTTTAGTATGGAAAATTCTGAGAAGGGGGAGTTACCAATCCAAAGTAATGCCAAGTTGAGTAAGACTCAAAGTCTAAGTACCGAAGTCGAGATAGCAGAGATGAGACGAGTACCTTACGCTTCCATAGTTGGCTTAATCATGTACGATATGACTTGTACTCGCCCTGATGTGGCCTTCGCTTTGAGCATGGTCATCAGATATCAAGGAAAACCTGGAAAGCATATTGGACCACAGTCAATAACATTCTTAAGTACCTTTGGAGGACCAAGGAATGGTTTCTAGTCCTCGGTGGGAGTGATGGCGTAAGAGTGCGAGGGTACAGTGATGCTAGTTTTCAGACTGACAGAGACAACTATCGTTCGCAGTCAGGCTGGGTCTTTACCCTAAATGGAGGAGAAATGACTTGGAAGAGTTCTAAGCAAGAGACCGTAGCTGATTTACTGTGTGAATCAAAGTACGTTGCAGCGAGCGAAGCATCAAAGGAGGCAATATGATTGAAGAACTTCATTAGAGACCTTGGAGTTGTGCCGGCCATAAAGGAGCCCATGTAAATTTTCTGTGATAATGAAGGAGCGGTTGCCTTGACCAAGGAACCCAGGGATCATGGTAGATCTCAACATATCGATAGAAAATATCACTTTATTCGACATTGGGTGGAAGAAGGACTCCTCCTAGTGAAGAGGGTATCATCATAGGATAAACCAGCAGATCCTCTTACGAAGGGACTGAGCCGGGTTAAGCACTTGCAGCATGCTAGGAGCATCGGGCTGAAGGACGATATTAGTTTAGATTAGGTAGTTTAGAAATGTGTAATAGATAAATTGTAATTAACATTATATGATTAAATAAAAAAGTATTATTTATTAGTAATGTTACTGTCTTATGTTAATTGTTTACCTATTGTTTCATTTTGCATGTTTTGACTTCCTGAATAACAAGATTATTCGAACGGTCCACAGTCGTTCATATGTTGGAAGTAGGTATGAATGAAGACTGTCATGAATTGGTGTATAGATTGTCTAAAGTGTGTTAGACATAGAAAAAGTTTGCTACAACGTTCATGAGTGCTTATGAACTTGATTTGAGCATTGGAATAAACCCACGCTTACTGGAATCACTTCATGGAATTTATCACGAGTGATCGCAAGATGATAATATCATATGGTCTTAAAACCTATATATATGGTTTATTGTTTGCTAATTGGTTGTGCATTGATAATGTGTAAACGCATCAGTAACTTGATGTTATGAAACACATTGTTGTGTATGATTTGATTAGTGGATAGTAAATGCATATAAGTCGAAGTTTATCTGTTCCTTTTATCCTAAGAGGGTAAAAGCGATATTAGGGCCCCTTGATGAATTGATTTGACTTATGTGATGGGTCTGATCAGGACTGAATTGATATGTTCAATTAAGTTCTATGTCAAATAAATCAGAGATTGAGAAACTAACTACTGGACAATAAGTATGATTATGTTCCATGTAATTGTCCGCACGATATCTAGAACAGAGGATTATACGATCCCTTATCTAAATGACATGTTACTGATAAGATTAGAGTTTGACAGTGTCTTTGATAGCTACGATTGCTAATCAGATTGTATTTGCATTTGTAGTTACAGATTTATCCAAGTGGGAGACTATTGGATTAGTGTATAATCCTGTAACTATATTTGGTAAGTACTTGACCTGGTTGTGCATGGTCCTTTTGGGTTGCCTTCACCAAAGCAACATGATAAGATGATTTGTGAATAAAGAGGTTATCATGATTTATTAATATGTTATATGAATAATATATTAATGAATAAATCATATAATTAAATTAATATTAGACAAGAATTAATTAAGAAATTTTTTCTGTGGCTGAAAGATATTAATATAATATCAGGGACTTCAACTGTCAAATGTTTTGATAGTTGAGTATTGGGCTGAGGAGCCTCTTGGACTAGGGATGGAAGAAATTAGGAGGTGTCCATCTCTAATTTCGTCCCTAAGGCCCTATTTCATAAGCTTCCTTGGATAACTTAAGGCCTAAGCAGTCCATTAGAGTTTTTGACTGAAACCCTAGCAGCTCTAGTATAAATAGGACCCCTAGGATATAGAAATTGGCTACCCTAACCTTAAGAGTGATAGAGCCAATTTGAAGAAGCCTCCAACCTCTCTCTAAGATCATTCTTTTGCTATTGGTGTTTGTAAGCCATTAGAGGAGTGACACTTATGACTCTAAGCTTCAAAGACAAGAAGATTCAAGCAAATAATAAGAGGTAATGATCTAGATATGACCTGTTTCTTATAATTTCGAATTACTCTCATTAGATCTAGGGTTTGAAAGACTTGGATGAATGCATGTACAATTAGAGAAACCTAGATCCAAGCATTAGGGTTTTCATGAGCACATATGATGTTCTTTTGGCTCAAACCCATCAAATTTGACTTTGAATTCTTTAACCGGTTCAATCCCTGTCCTGATTACAAAACTAAATTCCCTCATGTTTCTTGCTCTACAGTTCAATAATTTTTCTGGGGTTCTTCCAGATTCTTAGGGGAATGACAAAAATGACATCAAATCCATGCTCAAATCTTTAACCTTTGACCATAATTTCTGGTAACAACCTTTCATATCCAATCCCCACATAATTTTCCAACATCACCACCTTAACTGTTCTTGTTCTGAGATCCAATACATTCTCTGGGGAACTACCATTACAACTCACAAGATTAAACAACTTGCAGAGATTATCACTCGGGAACAATTTGCTTTCGGGTAACTTATCAAGCAATTTGCTTTCACTTCCTAGTTTGATTTTCCTCGATGTTTCCGACAATAATTTCACAGGTGTAGAGATTGTTATTAGAAGAAGTTGAGACGAGGAGAAAATTAAGAGCTTGAAGATGGAGCGACCAAGGAGCCAAAAGACAAGAAAATCCCCAAAATCCATCTGGGTATCTTCAACGACCTGCTTCCATCCATTGGCAAAGCAGTAATTATCACCATATTTTTTTTTAATCTTCAATCTCCAAGAATAACCTCCATTTAGAGATTGGAGTGTTGCGTTCTCATGGATGTTGTTCTCCAAGTGCTTGCGGAGGAAGGGAGCCGACAAGGGCGAGGGGCTATTTCATTCAATTGATGAAGATCGAATACAAAATGAAAATTGAAGTTGAAGAGAGAGAGAGAGAGAGAGAGAGAGAGGAGGGGTGGGCACTTTAATATTAAATAATCATATATATATTTTTTAAATAAGTAAAAACTTCATAAATGATCCATCCGGTAGTGAAATGATAGAAATATCCTTCACTTAACGGCCAAAAGCTAACGGAGTTAGTGAAAATGACCTTTTATTAAAAGTTTTGAAACCACAGGGACCATCTGTGAGGCTTTTAAAAATTAGTGACTAAACTTCAGATTTTAAAAAACTATAGGGACCATTTTTGAAGTTTTGTCCATTTTTTTAAATGACAAAGTAAACATATGTCATATCAGATAGATAAGTCGTAAAAGTTATGAAAGTTAAAAGCGAAAGAAAGAGAAGCCGGGCGGTGAATAGCGGTGGTATAGCGGCGATACAGCGTGATATTGCGGTGATATAGCAGTCGTATAGCGGTTTGCGGTGTAAAAAGTTATTGCGGTCCCTATTACGCAATAAACCGTGATTTTGCCGCTATTTTAATTCACGGCCGAAAGAAGAAGAAGAAGAAGAAGAGGTGACAGATAGAAGGAAATAGTGAATTGAAGATCACAGATGTCGATTTGTGTTTCCGACTTCTAATATTGAAGAGAAACCATTCTGGGTTGCGCGCGGAGCCGCATTAACCAAGGTAAGTTCATTTTATCTGTAAAATTTGCTTAGCTTGTATTAAATTGATGGTTGTAAGCTGATTAGTTGTTACAATGTAAGTTCAATCGAGTCATGAACTATCTTACAGAAAAGAAAAAGTTGAGGTGAGATTGTGTTTGGTGACCTAATTCTGTCAATTCGGGATATTTCTCGGTTAAACCAGTGTAATAGTGGATAATATCAATTATGAAATTGAAAATATTTTACATATCCTGAAACTATGGCATGATGTTAAATCAAGTAAGAAATCAACCAAATGAAAGCTGGAACAAGGATACAATCTAATAGGGAACAGGGGAAGTGGTCTGTAACATGGTGGTTTTGTTGTTTGGGGCATTTTAGTGTTTTTGTAAATACAGTTTAGATTCACATCAGACAGTATAAAAGTTTACGCAGAAATGCTTTCTTTCTTAATGTTGTTGTTAAGTTAAATATAATTATACTAATCTACTCAAGATTTTAAAGCTGAACTTTCAGAAATAGTTATAACATCTTATGGTTTTGTCTATAAATCATTATATTCTACTCCCTGTATTTTAGTAAATTGATTTTGTTTTTCAACAAGAGAAGGATGCCAAGGATATCTCCAATCTTGTTTTCATGGCTTTGATTGCAAAAAAATGTTGGTAATCATATTTTTCTGAAACTCAGTTGTTTAATTTATTGTATGGAGTTTGTCTCTGCATATACATAGTTGCAGTTTATGCCAACTCCCTTGTAATTCTTATTGCTCACCATGAAACTAAAAGACCTCTTATGTATCATTTTACCTGTGAACAAATTGACTAGTAATATGGAAGAAAGTTTTTCTATTTCTACTTTAATATCTTAAAATATATAAATGATAATATTATGTAAAAGATTGTAAGCATTGGATTACACCTTGGGCAAGTTTCAATGCATTTAACCTACTCAACCCATCTTATGTTCACTTTTAGCCATGGTTTTAGGTTTACTTGTTAGACCTTTGATAGTATTCTGGAAATAAAATCTAACCCAATTCCATGTAAATAAGTCGAAATTGTCCTGGTTAATGAGGCTAATGCATTGGATAAGACTGCATATTTTTATAAAGATAAGATGAAAATTATAATTTGAAACTACATAAATTATTTCTCATTAAGCTCGACACATCAACCTTGTTAAGTAAGATAATACAAAAAGAACTTATTTTCTTGTAGTTAGTTTGTAAATTTATTAAACATCAAAAACAAGTTTATAATTTATAATCATCATTTTCAAAAAAAATTACAAACTATCTTTGATATCTCGAATATTTAAATTCTTTTTTGTCGAATACTGTGTTTCATCCAATTCATATTTTGTTGAGACTTGTGGTCAAATGCATATACCGCTGCCAAAGGCAAATAGACTTAGCCAAAAACCACTTATTTTGATCAAGAGAAAAAGAAAAAAATAGCCAGAGGACCAAAAGAATACAAGTTTTTAGATAGAAATTAAGGTTTAGGTCATTTTTGGTCACTTAACTCTTTTTATGTTTTAAAAGGTCATCGAACTTTTTACTTTGTGCTCATTTAGTCACTTAACTTTTGGTTTGGTCACATTTAGTCACCTAACTTTTAAAATTGTGTTCATTTAGTCACTAAACTTTTAAATTTTTTCAAAAGTTTAGGAGATAATGACTTGAAAGGGTAACGAACTTTCGACTTTTGTCACATTTAGTCACTAAACTTTTTTTCGTTATCCATTTGCCATTGAACTATTGAAACTGTTCACATTTTACCCTTATGACCGGCTGTTGCCGGTCATAAGGGTAAAATGTGAACAGTTTCAATAGTTCAATGGCAAATAGATAACGAAAAAAAGTTTAGTGACTAAATATGAACAAAATTGAAAGTTCGTTTCCCTCTAAAAATTTCAATGACTAAATGTGAACAAACTTCTTCTTGTATTATGTTTTAGCAATTTATTTATTTTTGTTAAATCGTAGCAACATTTGTTGATGAAGAAATCTATGAAATAAAAAAAAATAATAAAATAATAAAATAATAAAAAAAACCCTGAAAATATATTTAAAAACAACAAAAAACCAAAACCGAAATACAAAACCAATGGTTTGACATTTTCCAAAAATAAAAAATCAAAATTTCCAATCTGATTTTGGTTTTACAAAAAAATGAACCATTCTCACTGATGTGAATTATGACCATTGGTTTGGCATGCGAAATTTGTGACATCCCATGAATATGTAGTTATAACATCGTCTGAACTCGTAATTCATAGTAAGGGGTTAGAGTATCATCGCATGAATACGTAGTTACAACATCGCCTGAACTCGTAATTCATCACCTACAGGTTATGGACCTACTGGTGTTTCCACTTGGTTGTCTAGAATAGTCCGTGGTCGCCATCTATACTCTGGTAGATGACTACATCGCCACATTGTTGGTTAAGGTTATGGTATCTCCTTTCATCCTACATCACATATTCATCATCATCTATATACCTAATTATCATCACCTTTCTATCATCACATATCTCTCATCGTTTTATTTCATCACACACCAACTATTTCATCTACCCATGTTTCATCCGCAACATATTTGTAGATATAAAATAAATATACCGTTTAAATCTTTTAAAACATGTATAAAATCATTCATCCAGCAAAGAAAACAAGTATTCAAATAATATGCACACATAGCACGTAATTTATATAAAATACTTCATATCTATGTGTAAGATGAAAGTAACTATATCTACCATAAAAATCCCATAAATGCTTCCTAACTTCGAACCCCAAGGTTTACTCTACTAAAGCTTCATATTCTCGGCTCTCTGAACCTAGAACGGTCCAGATCTATCACACCAAAAAGCTCAAGATAGCTCTTCCTCTCACTCTACACACTCAAGCTCGCTAGGGTTTTCACTTATGGGAAAGGTAGTCGTAATTGAAGGCCATAAGTGCCTTTAAATATGGCTCGGGCCCAAAGATTTAGGTTCTGCCAACAATGCAGACTCGTCGAGTCGCCTCACCGACTTGTCGAGTCCATTCATTAATCTGAGTCATCAGTTGCAACCTTACTCGACGAGTTGAGGCGTCAACTCGTCGAGTCTCTCTTCTTAACTCAAAAGAAAAATACTTCAATTATGATACCTGGAAATCCGGATGTTGCATTTTGTTTTTTTATTTCATAGATTTCTTCATCAACAAATGTTGCTACAATTAAACAAAAATAAATAATTTTGCTAAAACATAATACAATAGGAAGTTTGTTCACATTTAGTCATTGAACTTTTTAGAGGGAAACGAACTTTCGATTTTGTTCACATTTAGTCACTAAACTTTTTTTCGCTATCTATTTGCCACTAAACTATTGAAATTGTTCACATTTTACCCTTATGACCGGTAACAGCCGGTCATAAGGGTAAAATGTGAACATTTTCAATAGTTCAATGGCAAATAGATAACGAAAAAAGTTTAGTGACTAAATGTGACAAAAGTCGAAAGTTCGTTACCCTTTCAATTCATTATCCCAAAGTTTAGTGACTAAATGAGCACAATTTTAAAAGTTAGGTGACTAAATGAGCACAAATCTAAAAGTTAAGTGACCAAATGAGCACAAAGTCAAAAGTTTGATGACCTTTTAAAACTTAGAAAGAGTTTAATGATCAAATGAGCAAAAAATCAAAAGTTAAGTGACCAAAAATGACCTAAACCCTAGAAATTATCCTTTGACTTCCAAGTCTTCACAATTTATATTCACAAACTTGAAAGCTTTTGATCCCCGCAAATTTTGTAATGTTTTTCATGTAAGCCAGATCCATGAAACAACTACCTCAAACTTTCATGCTGGTTTTCATGATATTATACATCATCACATTGGAAATCTTTCTAACCTAAAGGTTCATACTATAAGCGGATGACATGGACTTTTGGCCATTTGTCACTTGGGTTTCTTGGATCTTAGTGTGTGCCTTACATGTTTCAATCGTTAAAAGATATTAAGTTTGCATAGATGTGGACTTTCCAATGCTAATGTTGGCTTCAATTCCTTCAAAGGTCCACTCCCTGGCTTTTTTCAATACATTGCATTCCTAGTTTTCTTGGATCTTTCATGGTTTGATATCAGTTTGGG